AACTGGAGGGCCTCAAGATATACAGGGCAACTCTTAGACGTAACCTTATGATGGCCATGGCATAAAAAGCAGCGGGGTGCAGCAGAGCACCCACCGTCATCTCTGTCTGAATGGCCAGTTTTGCCGCAGTTTGCACACCGTGCTGTATTACGGCAGGTCAGGCGACTGTGGCCCAATAGATGACAAGCGTAACATCGTAAAACAGGGAAATTGTAGGGCTGAACCTGATACGAGGTCCTGTGTAGTGCCACTCGGTCAGGGAGGTGCCCATCGAACTTTACACGGACCATGGATGTCGGCCCTGCTGCTCCGCGAATCCTGGTAACTTCCAATAATCTCACTGATGCACCCCCTAATACCTGCAGAGCGGCCTGGATGTCATCCACATCTACACTCTGGTCAATTGGGCCAATCTTCCCATACCGGGCCCGAGACTCCTCCTCCTGCGACAATACCTGTCGGCACCTGACAGGCCAGTCCCCCAACTTATTAATGTCGGATACACAGATGTGTGATAGAGCCTCCTTTCTGATATGTAGCTTGAGTGCTGCACCCCTACCCAGGGTACGTATGGTCTCAGGCAGGCAATGTGGCCACAATACGGAAGCCTCGATTGCTGCACCTAAGGTACGAGGATTTGCAAAGACGCACTGACCTGATTCTGACTGGATTAGGACTACCACAAACGAGGAACGGGGTACCACAAGACTAAGGTCTTCTGAAGGGGAGGATATCCTCTTAGCATCTCGCTCTGGGGCAGCATCAGCCGACTCATCTTCTAGCAGACGTTTTCCTCTCTGGGACTTGCTGTCAACATCCATGGCGCCCCCGCTCGGGGAGGCGTCCATTTGGGAGGCTCCGGCCTCCCCCGGTCCTGTGAGCCCCTGGGTAGCTGCAGTGAGCACACACTGGCCCAAAGAAGCCAGCTGAATTAAAGATGAGTTCCAGGTAAGGTGTGGAAAGAAAGTCCAGCCAGGAGCGTTCAATCCGCGCGCCAAGATGGCCGACCTTCCCGCCCAACCCTCCCCCACCTAGCTCATTTTATGCACCTCATTGGTGCTCTGATTGCCTGTATTTTCTCCATCTCTTGTATCTTTAAGTTATCACGGTTTACATTACAAAATAGATTCATGCACGATAATAATAAAAATTACACATGATACAGCCCAAGCCGCGACGAAAATGATAATGATTTACTGAACACGTGACTGAATGTGTCATCTCACTTCAGAAGACACGGTGATATGTATCAGTGTTCCCTGAAGTATAAAACTGGTCTGAAACAAGGAATTTACACAATAATTACACAGCACCGCCCCTGTGCCAGGTAAGCTACGGGCTCACCATAGCCCGTGCTACTAGGAACTTGTTCCGAGTAGCTGAATCTATAACAATAACAACAACAACAAAGAACTTACTGTGTGACAAATGAGTGACATCTAAAGCCTCGTGTCAATATAGTATTGGGCCTGGAGCCTAAAACATATTAAATTACAAGAGGGACACGATCTTATTCTGTAATTACTATACACACATTACGAGCTCCGATGCGCTACGAAGTCGTCTTTAACTGTTTAGTAAATAAAGACTATGCCGCTACGACTTACATAAGGATCACAGATCTCCCAAGTGGGCTCGTAAGTCCTCTGTGAATCCCAGGACAAGCAAACAAGCAACTCTTTAAATTAAGCAAAGAAGCAACTCTTCAAGCAAAGAAGCAACTCCTCAAGCAAAGAAGCAACTCCTCAAGCAAAGAAGCAACTCTTCAAGCAAAGTAGCAACTCTTCAAGCAAAGAAGCAACTCCTCAAGCAAAGAAGCAACTCTTCAAGCAAAGAAGCAACTCTTCAAGCAAAGAAGCAACTCCTCAAGCAAAGAAGCAACTCCTCAAGCAAAGAAGCAACTCCTCAAGCAAAGAAGCAACTCTTCAAGCAAAGAAGCAACTCCTCAAGCAAAGAAGCAACTCTTCAAGCAAAGAAGCAACTCTACAAGCAAAGAAGCAACTCCTCAAGCAAAGAAGCAACTCTTCAAACAAAGAAGCAACTCCTCAAGCAAAGAAACAACTCTTCAAGCAAAGAAGCAACTCCTCAAGCAAAGAAGCAACTCCTCAAGCAAAGAAACAACTCCTCAAGCAAAGAAACAACTCTTCAAGCAAAGAAGCAACTCCTCAAGCAAAGAAGCAACTCCTCAAGCAAAGAAGCAACTCCTCAAGCAAAGAAGCAACTCCTCAAGCAAAGAAGCAACTCTTCAAGCAAAGAAGCAACTCTTCAAGCAAAGAAGCAACTCTTCAAGCAAAGAAACAACTCTTCAAGCAACCAGGATAGCAAACAGGCAACCGTATCTTGCACGAGTAAATTTAGCATATACTTACAAATGCTTATATCCAGACCCGAGTTCAATCCCCGAAAATCCAAGTGAATGATATATATAATCATGCTTACATGCACCTTGGGATGGATATATATATAATCATGCTTACATGCACATAGGGATGAATATATATATATATATTCATGCTTACATGCACCTCGGGATGAATATATTCATGTGCACACAGTTAAGGTTACTTCAGTATTAAACAATCTATTGTATTTTTATCTGTTAATTGTCGGTTATTAATTGTATTGCGTCACAGCGACGATGGAGCGGGTGTTGTTGCGTCACAGCGACGATGAAGCACGTGTTGTTGCGTCACAGACACCCCCCCTCACCATAAGACGTGACACAGACACCCCCCTCACCATAAGACGTGACACAGACACCCCCCTCACCATAAGACGTGACACAGACACCCCCCTCACCATAAGACGTGACACAGACACCCCCCTCACCATAAGACGTGACACAGACACCCCCCCCCTCACCATAAGACGTGACACAGACACCCCCCCCCTCACCATAAGACGTGACACAGACACCCCCCTCACCATAAGACGTGACACAGACACCCCCCCTCACCATAAGACGTGACACAGACACCCCCCCTCACCATAAGACGTGACACAGACACCCCCCTCACCATAAGACGTGACACAGACACCCCCTCACCATAAGACGTGACACAGACACCCCCTCACCATAAGACGTGACACACACACCCCCTCACCATAAGACGTGACACAGACACCCCCCTCACCATAAGACGTGACACAGACACCCCCTCACCATAAGACGTGACACAGACACCCCCCTCACCATAAGACGTGACACAGACACCCCCCCCCTCACAATCAAGGTGCGTGTGCGGGCCCTTGAGTTGAGTAACTCAAGTTGCTTAAGATTTAGTGGAGGGTCGGTGGGAAAGGAGGAGGAGGAGGATGGATGGGAGGTAGGGAGGGGGGGCCGGGAGGGAAGAAAAAAAGATGGTGGGAGAGGGAGAGAGAGAGAGAGAGAGAGAGAGAGAGAGAGAGAGAGAGAGAGAGAGAGAGAGAGAGAGAGAGAGAGGAAGGATGGAGATAGTGCCGCAGGAGAGAGTAAGGACGTCTCCATCTACCAGTCCACTAAACTAGTCCTCCACGTCCAAGGGGCCTTACCCAGGCCACCTTGGACTTGATGGTATTGTTAGACTTGATGATTAGTCTTTAACCACATTTGGGGGAGTGTGGGGGATGAGTGTGGGGTGTGGGGGCGTGAGTGGGGTGGTGAGTGTGGGGGGTGAGTATGGGGTGTGGGGGCGTGAGTGGGGGGTTGGTTCTGGTGTAACTTCTAGTGTTCGTGGGGGTGAGGTAGGTAATATGAAAGTGGGTGGGGTAATAGTTATCACAGAGACAACATTACCAACCTGAGGCCACAACCCCTACAAAGGTAAACAATATATAAATCAGAGTTCAAAATAAAAAAAAACACAAATAAATTCATACAATATTTAAGATCAATATAATATCGAGAAAAAACCTCTCAAATGTGATATTAATCCATTTAATTTATAGTGACTCCCTTATGGATATTATTTTAAAGTCCTCTAGGCCTACGCATTAATCCAGGGTAGGCCTGTCCCCGGGGGCTAGCGGTCTACTAGAATATTTCTGGGTGGAAGTTTCGGATCATCTGGCCAGGGCCGCCACGCCTCTGTGGTGCTGAAAATTGCGTCCACTGGTCCATAGCTTATCGCTCACTTGCCTCCTCCAACGCCTCCACCACAACTACAATTGTCAGCGTTTACGGCCACTCTTGGTCGCTTTATTGTGAAACATTTATGTTGCGTAAGTAGGTACACGGCCGACTGAACAAATAATAGTACTTTGGAAAAATTCCACCTAGGATAAAATTCCACTAAGGAAAAAAAATCCACTTAGGAGAAAATACTACTCTGAAGAATTTTCGAGTTCTGAAAAAATTCCATCCAAGAGAATACCACTTCGAAAAAATACCACTCGAAAAAATTCCACTGCGCAGAAAATACCAGTCCTCAGAAAATAGCACTCCCCAGACTGAAGAGTGGTATCGTCTGAGGAGTGAAATTAATACCAGTCCTCAGACAATACCAGTCCTCAGACAATACCAGTCCTCAGACAATACCAGTCCTCAGACAATACCAGTCCTCAGACAATACCACTCCTCAGACAATACCAGTCCTCAGACAATACCAGTCCTCAGACAATACCAGTCCTCAGACAATACCAGTCCTCAGACAATACCACTCCTCAGACAATACCAGTCCTCAGACAATACCAGTCCTCACACAATACCACTCCTCAGACAATACCAGTCCTCACACAATACCACTCCTCAGACAATACCACTCCTCAGACAATACCAGTCCTCAGACAATACCACTCCTCAGACAATACCAGTCCTCAGACAATACCACTCCTCAGACAATACCAGTCCTCAGACAATACCAGTCCTCACACAATACCAGTCCAAATAAGCCACTACTATTAGCCATCACACACAGTGAACATCTTATAGTAGGTACATAAGGTCAAAAAGACGTCTTTACCTTTCACTATGGTAGAACGTACACAAAGGAACTGTTATACACAAAGAGAGTTCGTACATTATGAATACTCCTTACGGCACGCCAGAGAGTGGAACGGTAACTATAAACATAACCTAATTTACCCTTTAACAAATCCACAAGGGCCGTGATGAGGGTTCGAACCTGCGTCCGGGAGCATCCCAGGCACTGCCTTAATCGACTGCTCAGTCGATTAAGGCAGTGTCTGGGATGCTCCCGGACGCAGGTTCGAATCCTCGTCACGGCCCTTGTGGATTTGTTCATTGGTATGAATACAAATGAAACCCAGGATATGATGGATGCATTATATCCCGTCCTGTGATGGAGGAGGAATACCACCAACTCCCCAAGACGGAGGTCGTCAGTGACGGCCCCCAACACTGCCGGGAAGTATATTATACAGTATTTACCAACACGAAAAAGATCCCCGCCTGGTGTTGACAGTCAAGTGTAAACATAACAGCACCAGGATGCTTATTTGAGTAAACACGAGGGAGTGCATCTTTAGCATTTACGTCTAAAAAAGCCCACGAAAATGTACTCGCCTTTGAAGACGCCAAATACACGATCTTGCAAACGTATTTACACAAATTATTGCTAGTTAATATTCAATATAAAATGTATTACTATTTAAAAACAAATTGTATACAGATCTGTCAATGCAACTTCATGAACAAGAAAAGCGTGTCAGTACAGTCATGAGAGCATCATCAGTTGGCACGCTGCACCTCTAGAGGTCCTAGAAAGGTTCACACAACGTCAGGAGGCTCCAGGAAGGTACACACACCGTCAGGAGGCTCCAGGAAGGTACACACACTGTCTGGAGGCTCCAGGAAGGTTCACACAACGTCAGGAGGCTCCAGGAAGGTTCACACAACGTCAGGAGGCTCCAGGAAGGTACACACACCGTCAGGAGGCTCCAGGAAGGTACACACACTGTCTGGAGGCTCCAGGAAGGTACACACACCGTCAGGAGGCTCCAGGAAGGTACACACACCGTCAGGAGGCTCCAGGAAGGTACACACACTGTCTGGAGGCTCCAGGAAGGTACACACACTGTCTGGAGGCTCCAGGAAGGTTCACACACCGTCAGGAGGCTTCAGGAAGGTGCACACACTGTCAGGAGGCTCCAGGAAGGTACACACACTGTCAGGAGGCTCCAGGAAGGTACACACACTGTCTGGAGGCTCCAGGAAGGTGCACACACTGTCAGGAGGCTCCAGGAAGGTACACACACTGTCAGGAGGCTCCAGGAAGGTACACACACTGTCTGGAGGCTCCAGGAAGGTGCACACACCGTCAGGAGGCTCCAGGAAGGTACACACACTGTCAGGAGGCTCCAGGAAGGTACACACACCGTCAGGAGGCTCCAGGAAGGTTCACACAACGTCAGGAGGCTCCAGGAAGGTTCACACACTGTCAGGAGGCTCCAGGAAGGTACACACACCGTCAGGAGGCTCCAGGAAGGTACACACACCGTCAGGAGGCTCCAGGAAGGTGCACACAACGTCAGGAGGCTCCAGGAAGGTTCACACGGAGCCCCCAGGAAGCCAGCAAAGGCAGCCTTACCAACACAATGTCTTACGTAACCAAAACAAAGTATTATGCTCCCAGGAAGTGCACGTTTATAATTACGCCATAAATGGTGCTGAAGCCCCAGGCGAGGCGTTGACGACATAAAAGCAAGGAAGTTCAGTGTATCTTTAGTCACATTACCCAGTTACGTCATCGTGCTCTCTTACGACGACACCTACCACGACCACTACCACTACTACTACCACTACTACCACTACTACCACTACTACTACTACCACTACTACTACTACTACTACTACTACTACTACTACTACTACTACTACTACTACTACTACCACTACTACTACTACCACCACCACTACCACTACCACTACCATTACTACAACTACTTACACTATTCCTGTCATATGATACAACTTTAGTGTTATGTAGAATTGCCTTTAGCAGTGATGATCTTACTTTAACCTGTGAATAATGATTAGTTATAATGTAAAATGTCGTATGGCATTTGTCAGGGCTTTGCCAGAGAGAGAGAGAGAGAGAGAGAGAGAGAGAGAGAGAGAGAGAGAGAGAGAGAGAGAGAGAGAGAGAGAGAGAGAGAGAGAGAGAGAGAGAGAGAGAGAGAGTACAAACCACTCTCACTGCCTGGCCCTGACCCACATCACAACAGTATTCAATAGTGTTTGCTCACTCTACCTTATTCACCCCCTTCACTTAATCCCTTGACTCGTATTCTCTTCTGTTTCACGGTCCAGCATCAACACTTCTGCCTGAAAAGGTATTGAAACCTTTCAGAAACTGTGACGTAAAATGCACATAATTTTGAAGAACTTATATTAAAACATTATCTATCAACATTTCCATTGAACATTTAAAATGGGATCTCTCTTGTTTGGTGTTACTGAGTACCTCCCCTCGAACGCAGACCCATAAAAGTCCACATTAGCCCAAGAGTAATGGTGAGCTTAAAGCTCCGACTCAGTGTATGTATATATATATATATATATATATATATATATATATATATATATATATATATATATATATATATATATATATATATATATATATATATATATTCCTTGGAAGGGATACGAGGAATAGGGAGCTGGGATATGAAGGCGTGAAGTGAAGAAACGGTGCACAACCACTCTGGTCATCGGGGGATCGAACGTCGACTCTGCAAGAAACCAGGGTCGCCCATGACCCGACCAGTCCAAGTGGGTGACATATTGCACAAGCGTATATTCCCCCAATGTGTAAACAATGTCACAACACGTGACAACCAGATGGAAATGCCCTGGAACTACCCCCCCCCCAGGGCAGATGTAGAAACGCATAATTATTAACATAAAAAGTTGATTACTGCCCCACACACGTGCGTACACACACACACACACACACACACACACACACACACACACACACACACACACACACACACACACACACACTCAGGAATCTGTACACCAGTTGATTGACAGTTGAGAGGCGGGACCAAAGAGCCAAAGCTCAACCCCCGCAAGCACAAATAGGTGAGTACAAATAGGTGAGTACACACACACACACACACACACACACACACAGTCCTAACCTTTGGGGGCCTTGCGGCTGAGTGGACAGCACTTTGGGGTCGTACTCCTAAGGGCCTGGCTTTGATCCCCGGCGGAGGCAGAAACAAATAGGCAGTTTCTTTCACCCTGGTGCCCCTGTTCACCTAGCAGTAAATAGGTAACTGGGAGTTAAACAGCTGCTACGGGCTGCTTCCTGGGGATGTGTGCGTGTGTAAGAGAAATATATGTACTAGCCATAATAGAGGAGAAATAAACTGGTTAGAAAGGCAGGGTCCAAGAGCTAATAGCTCAATTCTGCAGATACAATTAGTAAATACAAATAGTAAATACACACACACACACACACACACCTTTGCTTCTTTGTTTCTCTTATTTTTCTGTTTGTCCGCTTTACAAATTTTTAACTTTTACAAATATAATATTTACGATCTTAAAAAACAGCAAAATGGTTGTTTTATAAATACAAAAAAGTATAATAAAACCGAAATATAATAACAATATCCACCAAACCTTCCTCCAAAAAGTGAAACAGCAAGTACACCCACTTGGAAACTTACACAAAATATATTACCTACAAATATCTCCGAACACAACTATAAAAAACAGCCAGAGAAACTACAACAATCAAAAGACCTTCACAAAACAAGAAAAAAGGGGCCTCTTTAAACCTCTTCTTCTCCCTCTTCAGGATAGACCTATCAATATCCTAAGACGAGTATAACTAGAAGCGGCCTCACATAGGCCAATAGGCCTTTTTCAGTTTCATTTATTCTTGTGTTGTGGTCCAATAACGCCTAATACCTTGTCTCTTTTCCACAGGTAGGCTCGGAAGGGCAGAAGATTCTCTTCCCTCAAGGTGAGGAGATGATGCTGGTGAGGCTGAGAGATGCTACGGGAAGATGATCAGGTAGGAGGGAGAGAAGGAGGGAGAGAAGGAGGGAGAGAAGGAGGGAGAGAAGGAGGGAGAGAAGGAGGGAGAGAAGGAGGGAGAGAAGGAGGGAGAGAAGGAGGGAGAGAAGGAGGGAGAGAAAGAGGGTGGGAAGAAGGAACAGGTAGAAAGATATAGAGGTGGAAGAGGTGTTATAGTAATTAGCAGGAAGCACTCTGCCTGTATAACTATATAATGAACGAAGGAGATAGGAATATAGTGGAGGAAAAAGTACTGTGGCTATGAACATGGAGAAGAATAGGCGGAAAGAAAGATAAAGAAGGAGAAGAATAATGGAAGAAGGGCGGGAATGGAAAAGGCTATAGCAAAAGTTTTTTGTATCTTTTGTCCTTGTCTTTCGCTACGTCAAGACCCCTCTCTCTATACAACACGATATAACGAACTGACAAACGTCTACTACGATACTCTTTGACCCTTGCCTTAAGCGTACGAAATTAGAGCAACCCACCAAACCTGTCTCCTCACTTTGTCTATTCGTTACTATATTTTACAGTGTAGATCCAGTTCAATGTTCACAAAGAGCTTGATTAAATGTTTATGTTACGTGAAAACTGTTAACTGTTAAAAACAGTGTTTTTAACACTGTTAAAAACCTTGTGTCGTTAGCCCAGTTAAACCCTAGATAAGACACTGTTCAAATCTTGCGTCGCTAATCCCAGTTAAACCCTGTATGGGTCACCGAAAATAAACGGTATATCGAGTCACCGTTATACAAGGAGGGGTGACCGTTTTGTTTACAACTATAGGCATTAAGACATCGCTTTAAGATATCGTCATGACGAAATACACGAAGGCATTTCGGCAAGCAAGCTATTCTGCGCTCTTGTAACCGGTTATCGCTGTACCTGTAACCGGTTATCGCTGTACCTGTAACCGGTTATCGCTGTACCTGTAATGGGTTATCGCTGTACCTGTAACGGGTTATCGCTGTACCTGTAACCGGTTCTCGGGTTGTCTGGTCAAACAACATGCGCACGCAGTAATCACAGATATGGCTTTCACTGCCGCGAATTATGACGCCAAGTGAACTTCATAGCAGAAAAAAAACGCTAAAATTTCTTATATTAATGTCTTCAACACCTTTTTTTCCCAGTCACACCAAAAATGATTCAATTATTTTTAACAAATGTGACGGGAAGAGAAGTCTATGGCATTGTTCAGTTGCTGCTAACTCCCCAACCCGTCCTCTTAATAATACGTCGTATTTTGACGTATACTCTAAGACCAAACAATGTCGTACTAGAAAATAGTAGCAGGTCACGAAATTGACTTACTGTCCCGTTTTCTGTTTTAGGCCCTCGGAAAGGCCAGAACAAGGGGGCACTTTAGTACAACAGCTTCTTGACGCTGGGAACGTTCAGGAGGACGGGCTGAACTCACACGACTGTGAGGCAGCGATGAGGTCCACCATGTTCCAAGGTCTTCAAGTTTTTGTGTCATGGGTTTGCTGTCCAGGGCAAGAGGTTGTGGCACTGGGCTCTCGGCTGGGGACGGGTATACGGGCATAAAGGAAGTGGGTTAGAGAAGGATAGGCGGATAAGGGAGGGAGGAGGAATGTAAAGGTGTATAGAGAAGATACATAAGTAGTGATGGAAATGGGTTCTGAGACATAAATATGCGATGATACTCTATCTAGGATATATATATATATATATATATATATATATATATATATATATATATATATATATATATATATATATATATATATATATATATATATATATACACACACTAGAGGGGGTGCCATGCTGTGCCACTAGAGGGGGGTGCCATGCTGTGCCACTAGAGGGGGTGCCAAGCTGTGCCACTAGAGGGGGCGCCAAGCTGTGCCACTAGAGGGGGCGCCAAGCTGTGCCACTAGAGGGGGGTGCCATGCTGTGCCACTAGAGGGGGTGCCAAGCTGTGCCACTAGAGGGGGCGCCAAGCTGTGCCACTAGAGGGGGCGCCAAGCTGTGCCACTAGAGGGGGTGCCATGCTGTGCCACTAGAGGGGGCGCCAAGCTGTGCCACTAGAGGGGGCGCCAAGCTGTGCCACTAGAGGGGGTGCCATGCTGTGCCACTAGAGGGGGTGCCATGCTGTGCCACTAGAGGGGGTGCCATGCTGTGCCACTAGAGTGGGTGCCATGCTGTGCCACTAGAGGGGGTGCCAAGCGTTGCCCTGGTCTGTGTGTCATCCACCCCCCCCCTTTTACTCTTCCATCTTCCCACTCTTTTCTATCCTCTCCTTGCCCCCTTTCCTCCTCTTTCTCCCCCCCTCTCTCTCCCTTCCTCTTCCATCCATTTAACTCCCCCTCTCCTTTATTCCCCCATCTTCCCTATCTCCTCCCTCTTCCCCTTTCACCCTTTCTCCCCCTTCTTCCTCCTCACTCCCTCGTTTCCCCTTCTCCCTCATCAAACATCTTCACTACACGCTTTCTTCTCTGCATATAATATCACCATAAACATCTTCACTGTTTACTATCTTCATCACTATAACTATCCTCCCATCTCACTATCTTCACTGTAATCGAATGAATTCAATTCATCATTTTCGAGTAAATCATTTAAATTGGCGATTAAACGGCAGGAGTAAACTCCATGGAAAATACATCCGCAATTTCATTTCAGACTTCATGTAAATCGGTATTGGGTTAAAGGGCTGATTTGATCATTTAATCTAGGCCGACTCCGGCTAGCCTATGTTCGTCACGTACACCAGACCATTCCCTTTGCAAAGTTGGGTGAAGCTAGCCCCAAGCATCTAGCCTACAACCTTGGACAGACAGATAGATAGATAGGCAGGCAGGCAGGCTGGCAGGTAGGTAGGCAGGTAGGCAGGCAGGCTGGCTGGCAGGCAGGCTGGCAGACAGACAGGTAGAAATTCTTATATACAGATACCACTTGGAAGGATACAGGAGGGCAAGAGGGTGTGATATGAGGAAGGTTGAGGAACACCTGGATGATAAAAGTGGCCGGCAAGCGCGCGCGTGCGTGTGTGTGTGCGTGCGTGCGTGCGTGCGTGCGTGCGTGTGTGTGTGTGTGTGTGTGTGTGTGTGTGTGTGTGTGTGTGTGTGTGTGTGTGTGTGTGGACCACCAACCTTGACATGTAGCGGCTCTCCTCAAGGCTCACAACATCAGGTTGGGGGGGGGGGGGTGGCTCGCCTCTCACTTTCTTAGCTTGTAAGGGCATTCGCGACCCACTGGCACCGCCTGGGCAGTGTTTTTCCCACACTCACACCTGACAACCTTTTATGATTATATATTTTTGTATTCATACATACACATTATATACATACACATTCACACACATATGTATGTGTATATGAACAGTAATACATATATTAACTAGAGGGGGTGGGGGGGATACGCGGTGATGCCCGGGTGACGGACGACATCATCTTCACTACTCACTATGTCTTCATCACTGGAAACATCTTAACTGCAAATCTTCTGTCTCCTTCTCCACCTTCCCTATTCTTCACCAACCTCGCTCCTCATCACCACCTTCCCTTTCCTTCACTATCTCCCCTACCCTTCATCACCTTCCCTACCATTCACCACCTTCTTTCTCCCCTTCACCACTTTCCCATCAGATCCGTAATCTTAGTGAGAATCGTCTTTTATTTAGTGAGATTGGAAATAAGTATGATTTGCCATTTCATTCAAAAGGGGAAAGGGGAGACATAGGACTCAACACGAACCTACCTATGACTATCCCTGGACAAATACTCGTCACCCTGCAAAGTTGGGTGAGGCTAATCCAGGCATCTGGCCCCAGCCACGAACAGGAACAAACATTCTCTTCTAAAGATATAAATAATGTATATAATAATTTATAATTCATCCCCCCAGGGCCATGAAAGAGTGGCACGTCGGACTGTGGGAACAGCAATCACAGGCTCCGCCACTCAGTGAAAAACATGTGTTTTGCACATGTTTTTTTTCCATTCAAACACACGAGGATAATATTACGGGTGTTAGTGAAACTCGTTTATATTGTTATATTAAAAAAGTTGGATGGCAAATGTGGAGGAAAAGTGGACAGAATCCAGTTATCTTGAGGATATCAATACAAGAAAATAAACAATAAATACCCATACCAGAGAGTTATCTTGAGATAATTTCGGGGCTTAGTGTCCCCGCGGCCCGGTCCTCGACCAGGCCTCCACCCCCAGGAAGCAGCCCGTGACAGCTGACTAACTCCCAGGTACTGTTACTGCCAGGTAACAGGCCTCCACCCCCAGGAAGCAGCCCGTGACAGCTGACTAACTCCCAGGTAACTGTTACTGCCAGGTAACAGGGACATCAGTGTGACAGAAACTCTGCCCATTGTTTCTCGCCGGCGCCCGGGATCGAACCCAGGACCACAGGATCACGCGTCCAATGTTCTGTCCGCTCAGCCACCGGCTCCCCAGGGTGCATATGGAATCGGAATCAATGCCACCAATTATCGTGGAAATTTAATGGACGTGCAAATAACAATTAAAAAGAACACATCGTGGAGATTTTAGTAGGCATCCTTCAGTCTCGGGAGACTATGGAGTTGCGCCCTAGTTGTCAATCCTGGTGCAGCGTCTGGTGTGACTGATGAGGCCAATCCGAGAGTGGCAGTCCTTCCCACACCGAGCACAAACGAAGTCCGATTCTGGTCTGTCTTCCTGGTTACCGGCTTTCCTTCTCTGTCTCTTTGCCTCCGATTCCTTGGCAAGTGACTCCTCGAACTTGGAGAGACCTCTTTGAACAGACTGCCTCCAGGCTGAACGGTCTGCAGCCAGTGTCTCCCATATAGCAAGATCGACGTCCATGGCTTTCAGGTCCCTTTTGCATACGTCTTTGTACCGTAGCTGGGGCTTGCCTACTGGACGCTTTCCCTGCCTCAGCTCTCCGTACAGGAGATCCTTGGGGATCCTGCCGTCGCCCATTCGC